AGCTCTCCCCCCCCCCCCCCTGCTGTCGGCGGCCCCCGCCGACCGCAGCGCTCCGGCACGGCACGGACACGGCTCGGGACACGGGGCGGGACACGGTACGGGACACGGGGAGGGACAGGGTACGGGACAGGGTACGGGACACGGGGAGGGACACGGGGAGGGACACGGTACGGGACACGGGACGGGACACGGGGTCTGCGTGTCTGTCTGTCCCTCTCTGCCTCTCTCTCTGTTTTTCTGTCTCTCTCTGTATGTCCTTCTGTCTAACGGGACACGGGGTCTGCGTGTCTGTCTGTCCCTCTCTGCCTCTCTCTCTGTTTTTCTGTCTCTCTCTGTATGTCCTTCTGTCTATCTCTGTGTGTGTCTCTCTGTCTGTCTCTGTGTCTCTGTGTCCCTTCTCTGTGTCGGACACGGGGCGGGACACGGTACGGGACACGGGATGGGACACGGGACGGGACACGGGACGGGACACGGGGTCTGCGTGTCTGTCTGTCCCTCTCTGCCTCTCTCTCTGTTTTTCTGTCTCTCTCTGTATGTCCTTCTGTCTATCTCTGTGTGTGTCTCTCTGTCTGTCTCTGTGTCTCTGTGTCCCTTTCTCTCTCTGTGTCCCTCTCTGTGTCTCTGTATCTCTTTGTCTCTCTGTTTCTGTCTCTCTCTCCCTCTCTGTGTCTCTCTCTCTCTGTGTCTCTCTCTCTCTCTCTGTCTCTCTCTCTCTCTGTGTCTCTCTCTCTCTGTCTCTTTATGCCTGTGTGTGTGTCTCTGTGCATCTCTATATGTTTATGTTTCTCTCCCCCCGTGGGTCTCTCTGTGTCTCTGTATGTCTGTGTATCTCTCTGTCTGTCTCTATATGTCTGTGTCTCTGTCTTTGTGCATCTCTGTATGTTTGTGTGTCTCTCCCCATGTCTCTCTCCATGTCTTTCCCCCTGGGACTTTGTGCATCCCTGTATGTCTGTGTGTTTCTCCCTATGTCTCTCCCCATGTCTCTCTCCCTGTGAGTCTCTCTGGGTCTCTCTCCCTGTCTCTCCCCCCACATCTATCTACCCCCATGTCTTTGTGTCTGTGTCTCTCCCCCTGTCTCTGTGTAGGGTCTCCCCTCTCAGTGCCCATCACCAGCCCCAGCTGTGTCTGGGCTGTTACTCCCAGCCCTCCAAAGGGTCTCTGCAGCCTCATTCTGTGTGCCCTGTACCCCCACACCTGGGCAGGGAGCCTGGGGATAAGGCTGGAGACAAGGGCAGGGAGGGATAGGATAAGGGAATGGGTTCAGACCGACAGAGAGGAGGGTTAGATTGGATATTGGGAAGGAATTCCTCCCTGTGAGGTGTTGAGACACTGGCACACGTTGCCCAGGCCAGGTTGGATGGTGCTTGGAGCACCCTGGGCTGGTGGGAGGTGTCCCTGCCCATGGCAGGGGGTGGAATGAGATAATCTTTAAGGTCCTTCCAACCCAAACCACTCTATGAGTCTGTGAATTTTTGAGCAGAGTAGATTTTAGGTGGCAGGTGTGAGTGACCAAGGGCAGGGAGGATTGACACACGGTACAGGATTTTTTCTGGGGTGAGGTTGTGTCCCTGGTGTTAACCATGGCCTTGCACAGCAGCATTTCCAGGTAGTATCAAGGCTGGTGATTGCTCTCTGGTTGTAGCACAAGGTCTGTGTGAGGTGACACTGTTGAAACTGATCTTCAGTGTCACTGTCCATGTGTGAGTTACAGGGCTTCAAACAGCAGATGGTCATTTACTGTCAACAAAGTAAGTCTTTGTTTACTAACAAAGGTGTAGTGTTTTCAAGTGTGGAAAAGGTTCAAAGGTATTAAAAGAAAACAGAAGGTTTAACTCTTTAGGTTCAGTTTATTCTCTCTCCATGGGGTAACACTACACAGGTGATGAGCAGTAACCATGCTAGGATGAAGTTCTGGTCTGTCAGCTGCACAGTTAAACATGAGCAATGTTATAACTGGAGGTTCAGGTCTCTGCTCTTCAGCCTACAGCACGTGGAACAAGGACTTTGCACTGAGAAGTGTTCTCCCCACAGGCAGTTCCAAGGCTGCATCTCTGCACTGGACCAGTGAGAGAGCTGTCAGTGTGTTCCTGCTGGGCCTCCTGCCTGCAGCCTACCTGTGCCCTGGACCAGCTGTGGACTATTCCCTGGCTGCAGCCCTCACTCTCCACGGCCACTGGTAAGCAGCACAGGCCCCTGAGAGTCTCAGAGCCAGGTAGCTCCAAGCCTTAGGTCTGAGATCTCTACATGGCAGTAAGTCTGATTTCCTGGTATAGTGTAAAACACCTGCAAAGAGGCAAACAAGATCTCCAGGTCGTGATTTTTGACAAGAGTAGTTGTACCTTGATCTCCCTTTGTTCCATATTCTCTCAGGCAGAAGGCAGGGTATGTATTTCTCTTAGGGAATCCATAAACATTCTCCAGTGTTCTACACAGTGTCCTACCTTAGCAGCACTTCCTTGCCACTCTGGAATCCTGGACCCTTTTATCTGGTAGAGGAGTCAATGCTGTACAAACAGAGGGAACAGAAACAGGACAGACCTGTGGAAAACAAGTTGGTTTAGAGCTCTGTGCTGTGTGCTGGGTTTGTACCTCAGTGGTGATGGGATTCAGCTCACAGCAAATGTTCCTCTAGAGCAATGGAGACCTGGATTGGTATTTCCATGATTCCTGGGCAGTTCCTCTAGAGCAATGGAGACCTGGATTTCCATGATTCCTGGGCAATGGTTGCTTGCTCATGTTCACTTTCAGTGTAGTTCTGCTGTGATCCTTAATGCAGCAGGGGCAAGGCTGGTTCGGAGTGGATCCAGCTGATGGTTGGCCTGACTGGCAGCATTCACCTTTTGAGGTGATACTAGTTTGGAGTTCCTTGCCATGAGGATAACTCAGCTTTGTGGCACTTTGGGGTGCCAAGTTTTCTTGAATCTCAGTTTTTCCCTTAGGAAGTTGTGCCAGGGATTCTTGCACTTTGCTCACTCTGACCTGGAGCTGCTTCCCACAGCCTAACACCATCCTGTGCCTTCTGTCCCTGGATATTTAAATCTGCTCAAGAGTTCACTCTCAGTCTGAGAGACGTAGAAGAAACCTCAAAGTATGGTAATTTTTTTGGTAGCCACTCTTATAACCTCAATACACATCCAGGAGTCTTCTGTGCCTGTGTGGCAGCAGCTGGTGCCAGATCCATTCCTTGCTGCTCAGGCAAGAAGGATTTTTCCATTGGTTTCTCTTCTCACTTGGAGCTGAGGGAAGCTGCTCTGTGTCTCTTGGAGGCAGATGCCAAGGATCCTGTTGCCTCAAGAGCTGTGCTTAGCACCTTGTTTCCTCAGTGCCCCCAAGAAAACTCTGAGCCAACATGTGTATTTTTAAAAGAACACGTGGGATGGTTTGGTTTGGTTTTTAAACAGAGGCAGGAAAGGCAGGTGGTACAAAGCCCTTTGAGGCACCTTAGCATGCTGACACAGCCTGGGTGGATTTCAGGGCGTGCTCTTCCCTGATCTCAGCTTCTCCTCCTGTTCTGTAGGGGTCTTGGCCAGGTGATAACTGATTATGTCCACGGGGACACTCCCATTAAAGTGGCCAACACGGGGCTGTACGTGCTGTCAGCTGTGACCTTCGCTGGGCTCTGCTACTTCAACCACCACGACGTGGGGATCTGCAAGGCTGTGGCCATGCTCTGGAGCCTCTGAGCTGTGCCCACGCCCCTGACACACAAGATTGTTCTCTGCTGCCTCTGCTTCATCGGATTTGTACCCATATCTCTAATGCAAAAGGAAGGGAAAGCCAAGGGTCATGCAGGGAGGCCAGAGCTGGGTGGGTAGGAGTGTATCCAACAGCAGTCAAGGTGGTGGAGGAGAAACAGTAGATTTTGAGTGAGTGGATCTAAGCTTTAAATTGGGATGGGTTAATTACATCCATGCCAGACTTGCATAGCTGAAGGGAACCTTCCCTGTAATGAGTGTTTTTCTAAACCAACTGTTGTTTGGTTTCCTGTTTTACAAAACAAGTTGGACTTGTGGAAGATTGAGCTGTTTCTTCTTGCCCTGTGGTTAAGGCAGAGCCTGTAACTCTTTGGACCCTGAGAGCTGATGTAGAAAAGGGAATACTTTTTTCTTAATCCATGCAATAAAGAATTTACAGAAACTCTGTGTGTCCTGAGCCTTTTGTACTACTTCTGGGTTGCTTCAAATGTTTTCTCTGCACCTAGTTCTGCTTTCTTCTGTCTCAAATCAAGGTAAGACACTAACTCACACTGTTACTGTGCCTTACTCCTTTGAGCTCCAAGAAAATATAAGAAATAGTTTTATTTATTTAACTTTCACAGGACTCAGGAATGGGGAACTATTTCCACATTCTAATGCTACTTGTGTGGCACTATTAATAGGAAGAGGAAGGGGATTGTGTGTTAGGCAATCACCAGAACAACCAAGAACTGCTGTTTGAATTCTACAAGACTTCTGATCTAGTTTATTTCTGGGTTAAATCTGGATGGAAAATGTTTCTTTACTTGCTTATTCACATAACCCTGGGCAGCTGCACATCTCTGGCCAGGTTGTCTTGCAGTGCTGTGCTGAGAATGGAGCTGGTAGCTCTCTCTGCTGTGGTCTGGCTAAACACAAACATCACATTTGTGATTTTGTCCTGGCGAGGAAGATGCAGCTGTGTGAGTCATGGGTAAGTCCCTCTGGACAGTCTGAGCTTCTGGCTTAGAAAGTGTTTGATGTTTCCTTTCCTGAGGCCAAACACAAGATGTGTCTCTGTGTGGTGGTGGTTTAAGATACTCCTGTGTAAAATGAATCCTCTCAGAGCTGTGTAAGAGTGTAGTAGTACAGATCTGGACCAGGTGTCCCACTAGTCCAGCTCTGAGCCCAGAATGGAAAGGTGATGGGAACACCTTTCTGAGCCACCTGTACCCTGGAAATTGGGTCAGTTCACTGTCATTCCCATTTGTTCCTGGCTGGAAGCTTTGGGTTAGCCCCAGGGATGTCCCTGTGGGGCTGAGGTGGGTGAAGGTGCTCGGGAAGTCATTCAAAGGCAAAACAAAAGTGCTCTCAGAGTGCACAGGTGCTGTGAAATCTGTTATGGTAACTGCTTTTCTTTCCCTCCCCTAAGTAGATCCACTTCATCTCTGAGGTACCTAGGTCAAAAGCCGTTTGACAACAGGCACTAAAGGTTTCAGGGATAAATTCTGCAGGACTGGATAGGCATCCACATTCTTGTTCCCCCATCATGCAGTTCCCTTCCATCTGACTGGAAAACACTGTGTTTTGCCAAGAATTTGCATTTATTTCTTTTCATTTCTGTTATAAATACTGACTTGTGGTAGTTAAAACATAGAACCTGGTCGAGATAAAGACTAAAGTTCCCTTTATAAAAAAGCCAAAATCTGTTTTAAGACTATCCACATTTATCCTCATATGTTGTGGCTTTCTCTCTGGGTGTAGTTAGATAAACTTATCTTCATGGTTTCATCCACTTCATCTTTTGTGGAGAGTTTCTTTAGAATTAACTTTCTCTGGTACCCTTCCTCCTCGAAGGCCAAGAACATCCCTTGCTCCAGGGAGTACTCAAACTTGAATGCTCTGGTGCAGCACGAGGTAAATGTCCTTTTGAAAAAGATTATGTTACTTTCCCCAGGAATTTCTTTGGGAACTTCTCCTTCCTGAGGAAGAAAATGACAACAGGTTAGTCCCAGGACAAGACCTGAACAGTTTTGTTCCAGCTCTCAGATCAGATGTGGGAACAGACGCTTACCTTGAATCGAACAATCTTGTTTCCACTTTCTTCCTCACAGCACATGTAGTAACTTTTGTCTTCCACTTGCACACTGAAGGCCACAGGCATCCCTGCTGCAGGGGTGGTGGTTTTGTAGTAGTGAATGTTGAAGTGCATCCCTTTGCCTGGACAAAAATGGTTTGTTACTGCTTGTCTGCTCAGCAGAGAGCTGCAACAACTCAGCTCTTTGCTGTCTTGCCATCCCACTGGCACCTGCTGGCTCTTCCCAGGATATTTTTTCCTGACAAGAGTCAGGACTTGAATTTTATGCCTGCTGGTTGCACATTTCTGACTTCCATGTCAAAATGAAGTCGTGCAATCCCCAAGATTTTCAGTTTGCAGTAAAGCAGGTGACGTTAACAGTTAGTCTGTGATATCAGATCCTTGTACATGCCTGAAGTGAGACTTGGGTTTGTAATTAGTCATCTGTAAATGAGCTTGTGTCTGTATACAGGTGGCTGTAAATAAATATGTCACCAAATAGAGCTCTGATTAAATTGCTGAAGCACCAAAAAAGTCAAAGCCAAAACTGTAAGTGTATTGTTAACTATTGTTGGGAGAAAGTCAGAGCTTTTAGTGCTAAATACATTGTTTTCATTTTAAAATGATTAAGAATTTTGTGATCAGAGCTAACCAAAAAAATCTTAACAGTCCTTTTTCTGGTCTCATCCAGGAATCTCCATCATCAATGCACAATTTCAGCTCCCTTAGCTTATCTTACACATAAAGTTTAAGCCATTAGTCTCATCATTTGGAGCCAGTGATTCAAGGCACAAAACCACCTCTAGATTAAAGGGGCAGTGGGATGGTTACAGCTCCTGTGTGAAGATGGAGTACCAGATCTCATCTCCTGGTCTGTCACATCCTCAAAGGCTGCCACGTTCAGGTCTGGGCGCACCACCAGCAGTTGGCTGTCAGCATTGCGAAGCACTCGGTGCAGAGTCTTTTCCTTACAAAGGGCATCACATTCCAGCTCTGCAGAGACAACATTTCTTGGCATTTGAACTGTAATCTCCTCATACCTGGACAGTTTGCTGCAGGCTCAATGCTGCCATGAAGGAGCTGATGTGAAATAGCTGCTGGAGTAGCAACCTCAAACAAAGCAAAGCCACGTCATTCTTTCCACCTCTGGCTTGCAGCAACCCAGGACTTCCCAGATGCAGTTTGGACACATGAGCAAGAGAAGCTGCTGTGTTTGTTAGTGAGGATTCAGCAGCAACACTTCTCTCTTTTGCCCAGCAATTAGAACTGCATTGAAAGTCCTGCCAGGGAGCCACTACCTCAGGAGGAGTTAAAGCAGCATCAGCTGCAGCAGGAGCAGGTGAGCTGTAGCTGTTTTTCTTGCAGATGCCATTACCAGTTTGAAACTTGTCCTCTGAGGCACACAGCACTCTGGGTTAGTAAGCATGAGCAGGTTAGTTCATGTGAAGCTGATACTGAAGGTATAACTGATGAGCTTTCAGCTTACCATCATCGTCTTGGTTCCGAGGGAGCAAGGAAGAAAAAAGGAGAGAAAAACACCAACATTAAGCTCTACCTCCACAAAAGAAACCACTTTCTACCCAGGGGAGGCTGGAAGCCAGCCAGCCACCCACACACTTCCAGTGTCACTCCCCAGAGTCACTCCCTCCCCAGCCTGAGCTGCTCTCACTGCTGGGAGGATTTGCTCATGAGCAAAACAAATTCAACACAATGATGAAACCACCAGTCATTGGGGAACTGGAGTTCTCACCAAGCTAGAGGTATGCAAAATGTTTCAGGGTTATTTCGGGGTGAGCAGGTCAGTTTGAGCCTACAACTGAGGGTAATTGCATGCAGATTTTTGTTTGCAGCAGCAGCTTTAGTCCGAGTGAGCCAAAGGACAACAAACAGGCATGAAATTGCTTCTAAAAAACCTGTTTCCTAACTTTATTCTGCAGGATTGGAATTTAGTCACTCCACAGTATTCCAGCCCTTCTGAGTGTCACTTGCAGGAGTGTTTTGCATGAAGCAACAAATATTCCACTGACTCAGGTAGTTGGCTAACTTAAAACCTTACGGGAAAATGAGGTGGAATCGGAGTGATAAAGGAAATGTATGAAATCAGCATTCAGTCAGCAAAAGTTCTCAACTGCTCTTTCAGGCAGCAGTTACCTTCAAAATAGAGGCAGAAGTTCTTCCCAAGCTGCACTGCAGACACCAGGATCTCCTCAGCACTCATCTCGTGGTGTTCCCAGAGAGCTGGGCTGGGGTTTGTTTGGCAGTAGTTTTCACTTTCTTAGCTTCAGTCCTGATCTTGATTTCACAGCTATTCTCTTTCAAGAGTGACACAGAAAAGGTAAGAAGGAAAGATACATTTCCCTTAGGAATAATAACAGTTGTTTTACAAAAAAAAAAAACCCCAACAAACCAACCCTGAAATACTTATTGAAGCCTCTGCACCTGAGAGATTCCAAACCCTCTTACACACACTTCAGGGGTAACTTATCACTCCCCCAGGGCTGCACCTGCCTCCAGTGTCAACACACAACCCTCCCCAAAAATTCCAGAAGAATGAGCTCTATTCATATCCCTTGCACTAAATTTTATGTTTCCCCACACCAATTAGTGTGTTAGTGCCAAGGGAATGACAGCAAGATCAGACTCTTGCACTTGGATTTTGTTGTGCAATTGAAAAATTTGGGTTCATTCCAAAGTGTTTTCACCGTTTGACAAAGGTTCATTACACAAACGAGTGAGCAATGTTAACCTCAGTAAATAAACACACCCATCTCCCTCGGGGATTGGGATGGAGGATCACTGGGCTTTCCTTGTCCTGCTAGTGAAGGACTTGGGGGAATGTATTTGAGAGTGATTTTTTTTTTCTCATCCTGTTTTTTATCTGGTCTGTAGCTGGAGCTGGTCTGTGCAGAAAAGACACCCAGAGGATTGCACCTGTGTTTGCAAACATGCACACCCAACCCAGCTAGAAATGAAATACCACAGCACCAAACCATGCAAGCCTCAGCTGGAGCAAACTAACCAAGAAGTCCAGGACTACTCTGTGATTCTAAAGCAGAGGGTAAGGCACAGACAGGACTGACTGATAGAGTTAAAGGAAATGATGAGCCTTGGTTTAACGGGTAAAACCATCACAGAGTGGTTTGGGTTGGAAGGACCTTAAAGACATCTAGTTCCATCCTCCTGACACAGGCAGGGACACCTTCCACTAGCCCAGGTTGCTGCAAACCCCATCCAGCCTGGCCTGGAACATGTCCAGGGATGGAACACCCATCCTGAGCCAATGCCTGAACACCCTCCGAGCAAAGAATTTCACCCCAACCTAATTAAATCTCCCTTAGTTTGCAACGGTTCTCCCTTGTCCTATCCCTGTGTACCGATGTAAAAAGTTGCCCTCCCTCTTTTTTACAAGCCTCCTCTAAGTACTGCATATACAACACATAAAACAACTGTGCTTCTTCCCTGATAGGCTAACAGAATCATCAAGGCTGGAAAACACATCCAGGATCATCACGTCCGACTTTAAGTAGTAAAAAATGGTTAGATTTTTCGCTGAGTGCGACTGAAAGGAGCAGCAGAGACTGACAGGAGTTTTTAGCCGAGGTGCTGTGCCCTGACTTGCCCCGCGGGGATGCAGGAGGGGAGCAGAGCCACGATCCTACCTGTGTCCCGGCGGCTGCAGCGAGTGATGCGCAGGGATGCTCGAGTCCCTCGGGAGTCGGGAGAGGACCAGGAGAGCTCCAAATCCTGCCGTGCCCGAATCCGTCGGGAGCCGGGAAAGGACCGGGAAAGCTCCAAGTCCTTCGGGAAAGGACCAGGAAAGCTCCTAGTCCTTCGGGAGTCGGAAGAGGACCAGGAAAGCTCCGAGTCGCTCGGGAGTCGGGAGAGGACCAGGAGAGCTCCAAATCCTTCTGGAGTCGGGAGAGGACCAGGAAAGCTCCAAGTCCTTCGGGAGAGGACCAGGAGAGCTCCTAGTCCTTCGGGAGTCGGGAGAGGACTTACCTGTGTCCCGGCGGCTGCAGCGAGTGATGCGCAGGGATGCTCGAGTCCCTCGGGAGTCGGGAGAGGACCAGGAGAGCTCCAAATCCTTCTGGAGTCGGGAGAGGACCAAGAAAGCTCCAAATCCTGCCGTGCCCGAGTCCCCCGAGAGTCGGGAGAGAAGCAGGAGAGCCCCGAGCCCAGCGCGGTCACTGTCCCCCCGCCCCCATGGCTCACCAGCCGCGGGGCAGCTCTCGAGGTCGGGAGAGGGTTTATAGCAGCCGCGGCAGAGGAAATTCGGGCGCTTTCCCAAGAGATCTGCCTACGCCTGCGTTTCCCCTCCCCGCAGGAGACAGCGCCTATGCAAACGCGAGGCTGCGAGCACAGCTCGCTGCGGCTGCTGTCGTCAGTCGCTTCTGTCCCTTTTCTCCCCTCCCCGCGGTGCCCCAGCTCTGCAGGGGCAGTGTCGGAGCAGGTACCACCCGCAGAATTCCCCGCACACGCGTCAGCATCTCGCCTGCCCTGCGGGAGGTTTGGGATTGAGGATGTTGCGGTAAGATCAATGCCACCGCTGTCTGCGGGGGAAATTTTGTCTCCTGTCCCTCCGCACAGAAGTGGCTGCAGGGGAGGGGTTTGGGCTGCTGTTTTGGGGTGACATCCTTCGCTCTCCATCCTGTCTTTGGGGAGTGTTTAATGCCACAGATGCTGCTGGAACTGCAGGGGCAAACACTGTGTTGTGGGGGGACAAGTAAAGCTGCTAAAAGCCAGGGAAGTGAGCTTAGGAATGGATAAATAGCCAATATTTTAATACTTGTTAGTACTTGGCAGCGTTTGGAATCTCCATGCCTTGATTTTCTGTTTCCTGGCTGATTAGCAAGGCATTAATTAGGGCTGTGCAGCTCGGGGTAAAGTGAAGAGGCTCCAGTTGTAGCACTAGGGCTGTGGAGATGAAACACACCAAAACGCCTCAAAACTCCCCAAACTCACGACCCCAAGACATTCTCTCACCTGCCCAGATGCCTCTTACTGCTCTTGGAGGGGGAAAGGTCTGTAGGGAATGTCTGAATATCTCTATGATACAAATAGGGAGATAATTTTGAGGTCAATGTCACATCTTTCAACCTCAGATGAAATGATAGCTCTAAAGATAAAACCACTGTCTGTTTTACTGATGATGTGGATTTTGACTGGTTTACCCCCAGGCAGTGATGTGTTTCTCTGAGTTGCTGAGACCAACACAAACTATGTGTGTGCTGTAGGAATTTTGTTGCTTTCTTTAAAGCTGCTGAAAGAAACGAAGGAAATTGGCTCAGGGGGATTTTAAAGGGCATAGGAATTCAGCAGCAGAGCAAAACATTTGGGGTAACTACTGTTTCAGACTGAGTTTCAGCAATGTTGTGCATTCCCATTCCAGTGTCCTGTTTGGTTACAGTGTTATTTGGGTGGTTCTAACAGAAATGCATAAATCTTCCTAATGTAACTGATTTCTGGTTACCCATTTCTGTACATTTTCCCCATAGCCATTTCGTAACAAATAGTTCCTTCCTGTGAGGAGGATCAAAATGTCTCTTGATGTTTTTCAGCTAAAACAAACAGCTTCAGCACTCTCAGTTTCTACCTCTGATGAACTTTCTTCAGCTTCAAAATATTATCCATGTGCCTTTTCTTCAATTGGCTTGTAATGTTCTCAGAAAATTTGGGCAGCAGAGCTTTATTCAGGAGAGTTTCCCATTTGGATGGTTTTTGTTCCTGATACTTTTCATTCCACTGCAAAAAAATATTTTTGTGAAAATAGTTAATGCTGTAATCATAATTTGTTATTTAGCCCTTTTTTTCATTAAGTGGAACACTACATAATATTATACTTGGCACCAAACCCAAAGTAAATGAGCCAGAACTATTTATTTTGCATTAACTATTGGCAATAATATATTTGGCCTATTGATATTCTTTACAAAACTATCAGGAAGGAGGACTTGGTCCTTCTTGTCAGCATTGAGAGCCTAAAAATTCAATTAGCTCATTCAGCACATGGAATAAAAGGTGTTTTGTTCCCTTTCTCTGTACATATTTGCATGTATAAGGCCCAAAGTCTAACCCATGCAAGAGCTTCCGTGGTAAACTTTGAGCTCTCATCTCTCCTGGCATTTAATATCTCCAATCTTAAAGGAACTGGAACTCCTTTTAGAGCAATAGCTTAGATTATTTTTATCCTGTCTTAAAGGAACTGGAACTCCACAAGAGTTAAGTCTCTCCATTTTATTTTTAGTCTGAGTTTTCTCCATGGACTGATCACATCCATAAGGTACTGAAAGTAGAGGAAAAAATTCAGATGCCGTAGGTTTATTTTAATCCAGAAGGTCTGTTAATAAAAATATCATAACCTACTCGTGGTAACTCAATTAGGGTAAACACCTTAAGAACATTTTCCTAACTTATTCTTTCATATCTGTTTCTTAATGTTCAGATGATATTGCTAATAACCTAAACATCTATGAAGTGTCAGGGAATTAAGTGAAGGGAGTCCTGGAGACCACAGTGGACACCAACACTAATGACCACAGTGGACACAACACTTTAATGATCACAGTGGACACCAACACTAATGACCACAATGGACACCAACACTAATGACCACAGTGGACACCAACACTAATGACCACAGTGGACACAACACTTTAATGATCACAGTGGACACCAACACTAATGACCACAATGGACACCAACACTAATGACCACAGTGGACACCAACACTAATGACCACAGTGGACACCACTTCCAACTCTAAGGGCCACAGGTGACACCAACACTAATGACCACAGTGGACACCAACACTAATGACCACAGTGGACACCACTTTTATCTCAGGCCCATCCCAGGGGGCTGAGGCAGGTGCCAGCCCTGAGCCCTCAGCCCCAAGCTGTGCCCACAGTGTGCCCAGGAGGGTGAGGAGCTGTGTGAGCTGTGTGAGCAGTG